ACATGTCTTTGATAAAGAAAATCATCTGTAGCAATTGAGCACGTAGACGACATAAATTCTTTAGAAATTGGATGCAAGGTGTTTCGACATTGTTATCCATTTTAAGCCTCGCTGTAGAATGTGAATCAATGACAAGTCTATGAATGTAGAGAGCACGCTCCCTGCCCTTTTCCGGAAATCAAATTATACAGCCCTCAATGTAAACCTCTGCTCTATAAACATTACCCGAACCTTGAGTTATACTTATCATAGTACGGCAAATCCCTTGTTTAATTTACCAGTAGCTCCTTAGTATTATTGGAAATGTCGCCTTTTCTGTATACATTTGTCTGTTTGTTCTCTACGAGGATATGAAATAGGGAAAAATAACGAATACTGATCCATCTTAAAAAACCCAGAGACAAACAATTCTAATCTGTGAACAAAGAATAGACCCTGAAAATTTCAGAGTTTTATAATATCTTTAAAAAAAGTTATTTTTTTAAATCTTTAAAGAATTTAATTTACATGACGAGACCAAAAAAGTTATGTACATATGTATCGGATGTATGCATCAATAATACTCCCTTTTTTCATAGCTCAAAATATTTATTTAATACACCCCCATAATTGAATTCTGATGGAATTTCCACATGTATGTTTAATACAATCATTGCCCCAATAACCCGGTCATAAAATGATCACATTGTAATCATACAATGGCATTAAAATCCAAATAAACAGTTCTTTCTTTATAAAACTCTATATATAGGTCAAGGTCATGAAAAGCCCTAAATATAGGCCAAATGTACCAGACTCTTTTGTATAAATGTAGGTTAAATCCATGTTTAGAAACATTCTTAACGCCAATCTTAAATCAGTTCAAAGAAACTAAATCTTTTTTCTCCTACCCATGAAGATAAATACGTCGCTACAGATTATCATCACTGCCATTAAAGGATTAACGGATACAAAACGCTCAGTATGCAGATTTGGTGTGCAGAACCTGTACATGGTATAATGTTGCATTTAATTTCCTTCCAAGGAGGATGTTGTGCAATAGATGATAGATTTATGTATTCCTTAATGTCAAAAACTGGAAAGTTAAATTGACCTCTGCATGTCAAAGGAATATCAGAAAGTCTGAAAATTAAAGTCTGGTTTTCAGTTTGATAAATTGGGTCTACTGATCCCTTCTGCCCTGCTGAGGACATGAAATATGATATTGGTCCCACCGAGTATCACGTGACCAGAAACATAAGGACTCATTTCAATCTTCTAATTAAACTTTGTAATCGAAAGTCATTTGTCTAATATCGAAAAGATCAAGATTTTGTACCTTGTATAGATATATCTTATGAATTTCATAATTAAAACTTTTTTTTGCACGTCCGTCACTAGATTCCCGAAAAATGAGTGCGAGGGTGTCGGGCTAAAACAGTTTGACAATTTCTATAAACTGGCAACAGAGTATAGTAGGTTTTGTTTAATTATTAAACGCTTTTTTAATATATAACAGGTACGAAACGAAATTAGAAAAAAAAATAATGATGAATTAATTTTGTTCAAAGAAATAATCGCGAGATTTATTTTTAAAAGGAAGCACACCCTTCCTTCCTTCCTTCAGTCTTTTACATGGACTTCCATTTTAAACAGTTTTAATATTCTGTAACAAAGATGTACATGTATACTAGTAGTTCATCCGTCGAATGTGTAGATAATATTCGGACCCAATCTCTTAAAGTGCAGATGCGGAGTGTACGAAAAGTATTTTAATATTTTTTTAAGAGGATTAATTATTGCTGCTTTGAAGTACGCGTAGGTTCGAAACCCTTCCCAAAATTCCATGGAAAACTGTTCAAAAAGTATCAGACAATTGCGTTTATGAAAATAAATTAGCTGATATTAAGAAGTATTTTTTTTTTTTTTTTTCTCCCTCTTCAAAATAGTAGCTGGTTTACATACACATGTACTTTGAATGGAGTACGACTATTTCCGGTGAAAAACTCACTCACTCCTGATGATAGAAGGTGAATCATTTTCACAGTAATCAACAGAAGGAGCCTGACTCATGGATTGATGTGTATTGCGTACTTGAAGATCTCGCCTTCCGTATTTTAATCTAATGACCATCTTCTCTGTAATTTGTTTTATTGTATATCGATTGAATTGCGACATTTTGACTCATTGATTCGTCAACATTAAATTTTGATTCTTCATTGTTTTTTTTAAATAGTGATGCTGTGAGATGGGATTTGGATTTTTATTCAAGACTGTGGAAATTGTTAGGTCTGCAAGTAATAATCATCAAAAAAGGATAATTCTTAAATATAGAAGCTGACACAAGCATTATACTACTCTTTAGTCATTCAACCTTCTTGAAGATAATTGTAACAACCAAATCTTGTGATACCCCCCTCCGAAGGAGAAGGGGGGTATACTGTTTTACCCTTGTGTGTCCGTCTGTCCGTCTGTAACAATTTTTTGTCGCAGTTTTCTCAGCAACTACTCATCGCAGATGCTTGAAATTTTAACACAATCTTCTCTGAGGCATGCCATTGGTGGGATTCATTTTTGTTATATCCGATGTCAGCTTCCTTATTATCCTTGCTTCTGTCCGTTTCATACCTAACAGATTTTCGTCGCAGTTTTCTCAGCAACTATTCATCGCAGATGCTTGAAATTTTAATTCAATCTTCTCTGAGGCATGCCATATGGTAGGATTCATTTTTGTTCAAATCCGATATTAACTTCTTGTTTATCCGTGCGTCTGTCCGTTTTATACATAACAAATTTTCGTCGCAGTTTTCTCAACAACTACTCATCGAAGATGCTTGAAATTTTAATTCAATCTTCTCTGAGGCAAGCCATATGGTGGGATTTATTTTTGTTCTAACCGGATGTCAACCTCCTGTTTATCCATGCATCTGTCCGTTTCATACCTAACAAATTTTCGTCGCAGTTTTCTCAGCAACTACTCATCGCAGATGCTTGAAATTTTAACATAATCTTCTCTGAGGCATGTCATGTGATGGGATTTATTCTTTTTCAAATCTGATGTCAACTTCCTGTTTGTCCGTGCGTCTGTCTGTTTCATAAAAACAAATTTTCGTCACATTTTTCTCAGCAACTACCCATATAACAGATGCTTGAAATTTTAGTACATACTTTGTTGAAGCATGCAGTATAGTTGGATTTATTTTTATTTGAATCTGATGTCAAATTCCTATTTTTCCATGCATATACCCGTAACGTTTATTAACATGATATTGAATATATTCACATCAGATCGGGGGTATTATTATTGAGCATTGGCTCACAGATTTCTTGTTTTATTATTATTTTTTGAGAATTGAGATAAAAAAAACAGACAAACAAAATTTTAAAAATAAGTTACCTGCATGAAAGGAATAAATTTGAATAGGGCCATTCACAATTTATAAAAATACATGAACATATAGTCACTCTCTCCCATTTCTCATCAAATAAGGTCTTTTCCACATAAAATGATAATGTGGAATATTATTAATATTGCACAAGACAATTTTACATTATCTAAAGAAACGATACGGAACAGAGTGACATATGATGGGGAGGGGGTGCATGGGGAGGGGGGTTGATGATTGGCAAAGGAGATGTACTAAAATAAAGATGTTTGTCTTACTGTCCTAAAATGCAGTTGAATTGGTAAATATATTTTGTAACGACATGAAGTTTTGAGTTCATGAAAAACTACAACTTGATTCTGAAAATTTACAATGTTGTCTTCCTTAATTTGTATCACTATCCCTGACTTGTGTGTATATATATATAATATATATATATATATATATATATATATATATATATATATATATATATATATATATATATATATATATATATATATATATATATATATATATACGTACATGTACATAAGGTTAGTTTAAGGTTTAAGTTTGTTGGGTACATCAACGATAGTTGGAATCGCGGTAAAGAATCAGGGGCATTAAGACCCTAAATATGCCCCAACCATAATGGACAAAATATTATAAATATTAAAAGAATTATGATTGAATCACACCTTTTCAGACATATTTTGACGAAAAAACCACTTTATAGACATTTTGGGGTCAATACAAAAATAACACAATTTTCACTGATTTCTGGAAATTTTTAATAATTTTTTTTCTGTAAATATAATCAAAGAAATAAAAGATGGATTTTTAATACAAATACAACAGACTGAGATATGATCTTAAACATGTGAATAGAAACTATATTTTTTAAGCTGTAAGTGGTAAAAATGGATTTTAATGTAAAACAATTGTTTTTATGTTCAAAATCAGAGATACCTGGGAAATTAAGATGTCTTTAAATGGACTCCAATCACAATATGTACTTTACAGTAAAAATATTTTAAATAAAATCCTATTAACTCTATCAAAAACTATAAATGAGAAAAAACCCTTTATATTATTTTGAATTCACAGAAAAATGTTAATTTTTCAAAGACAGGTAATATTTTATGTATTTAACATAAAAAGACTTTGAATGCACAAAGTGAACAAACAAGAAATGTATTCAACTAACATTTTTAATAACAATTCATTAAACTTGACAAAAATAACAATAAGGGATTTCAGTTTGCATAAACAAATTCCAGAACTCCCATCACCCACCTATACTTTACCAAAAAGATCATAGAAGATAAACATCACACCACTCATGCCTTATACACTACATTTACTCGTAATAAGATAATGTTTTATCATCCTCACAATGTCATAAAAATGAATTAAGCATCAAAGAATTAGTTATACCAGTACTTGTTTGGCTGGAAAGGTTTTGTAATCACATTGTACTACAAAAAATAACAAGTACTTGTATATAGTCATGTTAAATTAACAAAGTTCGATATGCAAATCAACACATTGCATAATAAACTGTAATAGTTACTTTTATCTGAGAAACATTTTGTGATGCATTATGAATTTTACATCAGACTGGTATATTAATTTTGATAACAATAATTCATGAAGTATAATCAAATGATAATAACAAATCATTTCATTTGTCAAGGTACATTATTATCTTTCAATATTTACAACTGAACTTGTTAAACTCATGCAATGAATCTAATATGTTATTGGGATGTACAATGTACTATTTTTTAATTTCTCAATTATATAACAGATGTTAACGAGGCTGGGGTGTGGCAGCCATTTTTAGACTATTTTGATCTCCTTTAAAAGAAGAGCTCCATATAAAAATATACAAAAATGATCAAATTTTCAAAACTAAAATGTATGATTTTTTTCTTTGCCAAATGATAGTTGACAGCTTAAAAGATACCGTATCTAAAAAAATAAGTTAAATCTGTTTATGGTTAATTTGTTGACCCCCCAGCCTCCTTAAGAAATGATGCAGTGGATGTAAATCAAATGCATAATTCTTGTCACTCTTCGGTTGTGCTCATTTCACTTTCTGATGAGTCAGGAAGCACAGCTGCATCTTCAAGATAGTCATCCCAGTCTTGAGTAGTATTCACTGCAAAGTTTTTGTGTCTCTCGTAGCCGAGAAACCACAAAACTGAAGCCACATGGGCACATGCCCCGACAACTCTGGCTCCAGCACGACACTGGCAATACCAACCAGTAACAGCTCCCTCTGAGTGCTCTATCCAAAGAAGGTATTGTTTACTTGAAATATGTCGACTCTGGATCCTTATCCGCAGAACATCAGGAATATCAGCATTTACCATGATGACGTAATCACCTTCTTCATCCATGTGCTGAGCAGTGTACCCCTTAGCCAGCTTTAACTGGTAAACACCAATAGTCAAATTACACAGATCCTCCTCTGAGAGACGTGGAAAGTCCAATGAATCAGCAGCATTGATTGGGGTCCATGACTTGACTCTTCTGTGTAGTCCTTCAGATTCCACTCTCTCCTGAAGCTTGTTTGTCTGAGATGCTAAGAACTATATAAGAGAAATTTTTTTTTTACTTCAGTTTCCAATTCTATCACATATGAGCTATTAATACATGCATAAATTAATTTAAAAAAAAACGTTTTTGAACTTTGGACATGAGTGTAATGAAAAAATCAATATAAAACATAATTATGTACAGTAGTTTATAAAGGAATGAAACAAATACTGGCATGTCCTTACCTTCATTTTAGCGGCTAAAATCACATCATTTTCTGGGTTTCCAGCATTTAAGGGTTGTCTGTACTTATTACAGAGAGGTGCAACCAAACACACATAATCCCTGATGAAGGGTATCTGGGTATTCGGGACAACATTTTGCAAAAACTTCCACTGTTTCAGTCGTCCATTTACCGACTCAACAATCCAACGGATTTTGGTGACTAGTCTCGAAGTATTCGCCTGCAAAACATTAAAAAATATATATACATTGTAAACTGGGGTACAAAAAATGTAATTACTCTTAATTAAGTGTTTATATTGTGAGCATGTCAATTATTACTGACTTTTATCATTAATACCCAAAAATTAGACAGTGATTCCTTAAGAAATTGTGCCCAGTTTCAAATGTACCTTATGTACCTATATACTGATTTGAAAAAAAATAAGCTGAAGATTACTGGATTAAATTACTAAATATCTCCCAAGGCAGTAGGAACCGGGGGGTGCACGGTCGGCCGTCCCCCTTTTAATTTTTCCAATATCTATAGAATTATAGTAGTAGTATATAGAAAACATACCTACTATATCTCTGTAATATGCTTGTGCCCCCTCGATAAATACGTTTGATGGTCTATTTTTTCCTTAGCAAGGAAATTTTGGTAATTGATAGTGCCCCAAACTGACAGCCCCCCCCCCCCCCCACACACACACAGACTTAAATTGCTTCCTACGGGCCTCAGTCTCCCCGTTTACCACGGTACTATATTGATTAACCATTTTGCTTCGAACCCCTTTCTAAGAATACAAGAGTTATCTTTCTTTTTACAGGACTGCATCGTGTTGCGCAGTGGATAGGTTGTTTTCTCCAGAGTCGCGGGGTTAGAAGTTTGTTCCTAACGTCGCGGGTTAGAATCGCGCTGTAGGATTTGGAGACCGATCCTATTAACAGAAGCTTCTTGGGTCAAAAAGTGATAGAAGGGTTATTTTTTTAGAACAGGGAATTGAATTTCTATTGAATAATACATATTGTAAGTAATATCTAGAGCTTAATAAGGCTTCAAGAATGATATCAACAACTCCCACATTGTATAACTGTTTAAACGAAGACCATAATTATAATTTATCGAAAATAATGGGGATTTCTATGGATGCTAATTCAAGGATATTGTGAATGGTTAATCATATGAAAAACTTATCTAATGGGTGGAATTTTTCAATGCGCCTACCAAAAAACCGGAAGAGAGAGGGCTAAAATAGGCTTCGCCTGCTGCCCAATCCCATTCACTTTTATTGGTGAATAAAATTTTGTATAAATTAAAAAAAACGCGATTTTTACCCTTTCTTGTCAAGCTTTTTCACAGAAATACAAAAATCCTAGAACATGCGATAAAAACTAACAGTCTAAATGCCAAGTGTTGTTATGGCATGATTTAATGGTTGTTTATCAATGTATTTTGTAATTTTATATGTCATTTTTAACTTCAAACTGTAAAGTTGATCCTTCATTTAATATGGTTTACACGTAAATCCGGGTTTTTTTCTCCGGAAATACCCATCTCATAGCCATCTTCAAATGTGGCGTTCTACTTCAATTTGTATTGAATGCTTTCAACCTGTATATTGTTTATTTTTAATATTTACACGTAAATTATGATTATGCACCCGTAAATAAAAATTTGGGATAATACAGTTCATGGTATGTCCGTCTTCATGCATGTCCATCCGTTTGTGTGTTTATTACATGTAACATAAACTTTTAAATAAAATTTTTTAAAATCTTAAACTTTGACATTGAGATGCCCCCCCCCCAAAAAAAAGCTTCACGAACACATCTATTGCTATTAATTCTGTTGTTGATTTTTTTCAATTTCATTTTTCATACATGCATATGAATATTTAATGCTTTTTTATCCAGTCATGTATCCCACTATATTTCAAGCTGAAATCCATACCATGCATTTTCTTAGCTTCAGAACTAGAGCTCTCCGAAAAAAAAAATGACAGACCGGAGAGCTACAGTGCCACCCATTGAAAAAACTGAATATTTATTGCGCACAAAATAGTGCGCTGTTTCTCGATTCATTTCTCCATGTTTTTAAACTGTCATCTCAAAATATTAATAACCGTGTGTTCCTAACATTTTCTTTCACTGTTTCCACAATAAAACATTCCTTATAATTGTTGTTAATAGCCCTCCTGGCCCTGAAATTGAGATCATCGAAAATTTCGTCTATTTATACTGCCATTTTGTTTTCCAAGATAATTCGGTCCAACACACTTCGTGCAGATGTCAAATACGAGAGTATTTCATACAGGAGTGAGGAATTTTTTAAAATCTATCTTTTTTTGCGATTGAGGTAAGAATTTGGAAGAATTAATCCAGAACTAAGCGCAAATTTTTGTGCTCAATAAATATACAATTTTTACAATGGACGGCACTGTAGCTCTCCGATCTGTCAATATTTTTTTTCTGTGAGATACAGATCTGTACATAGCATTTTCTTTAAATATTCTTAGATATTTAATTACAAGTAAACTCTACGGCACCTAGATGTAGAAACAAAATCCTCCAGCTTGTCCGTGCTCTTTTTCATCCTTCAACTACAGCCCTCTTGGACATATCAAAACTGGCGACGTAAATATTGTTAAAAATGAGAACCTTAAATCACTTATTTTCAAAAGAACGAAACTTTAAGGTTACCTGGCTCCAGGATCATGAAACATCCTAAGCTTAAGTCAAAACATTCATGTTGTGCTAGAATTTTGATTAAGTCAAGTAGACAAAAATAAAAATATTTTTTACATATTGCTTTACAAAAGTGTTGTTATCTGCAAAATTAGAGGTTCCTTCAATAATTAATAAACATTTTATAGGCAATTAAAAAATTGACTTAAGTCTGTTTCATGATCCTGGGACCAGGCCTGGGGGCCATAAAACTTAGACGAGCTCACTTTTGATCTCAGTCTCACTTTTCCACTATATATTCCTTAGGAAAAAGTGAGATTGAGATCAAAAGTGAGCTCGTCTAGGTTTTATGGCCCCAGACCTGATCTTCCAACTGGCGTCAGAATTTCATAGATTTATGGATTCTATCATGGAAGATTACGCCAGGCGATGGGCAAAATATAAAAAAAAAAACGACCCGATATGAAATAAAAGCATCGGACTGGTTTTACAGTGTCAGTGTATGTGATTAAAGGGCAATATGAAAACCATTCATCCTCTTGTGTTTCATAATTCAAAAGTGAAAAATAGTATGACATTGTAGTTATAATCATGTATGTACTGGTCCTATAGCTGACAAACAGATAAAGACATCGTCTTTGTTTGTAACGCTCATTATTTTGGAGAACCGATATTTGAATCTGCAACACTAAGTGGTAAACTAACTTAATCTACTCATAGCTTTCTTTCTAAGGAACAATTTCTTCGAAATCTGTAGACATATTTTTAATTTTGTTTTTATAAGCCTAACAATCAATTTCCATACCTAAACTGGATTCCTTAACTTCATTTAAATTCTTACAAATAAAAAACACCTTGTCAGTCGGTTTCAACAAATGTTCTCCCAAGCCTCTTCCTTTACTTCTCGCTTCAATATTAACAATAGTAAAGGAGAAACCCCCCAGGAGAACTTTACAACACTAAATTTCGGAAAATGTGTAAATCAGAAGTGGGGCCATTCCAAGTTTTTTCTATGTTTAGCATCCGCGTGCGCCTTGGTTTTTGACACCCCATATAAGAAAAAACACAACATCAGGAGTAGTGAAATTGATTAATTTAGTCGAATTTTTTTAATTTTGTCAATTTCTCCAAATAATTCTATACAGTAAGTTATACTGGGTGTATTTTAAGCATTTAATCCCTTGTTTTTGCTTAAGAATAGATATTTCATCTATTAAAGCAGTTTAGTTAGATCAAATCATTTGAAGGGTGTCATTTTTATGACTTTGAAGCCTGCGTTTTATGTTTTGGCTTGTGTGTTTTTTGCGAATAGGTAGGTAGGTTTTTGAAAGATGGGTGGACGCTAAACAGAGAAAAAACTTGGAATGGCCTGGGTTATGAAAAGTACACTTTTAGAAAATTTGAATTCTTCGAATTTAACCTAAATCAATAACACCAAAAAGCACGACTTTCAACAAACAACTATTCCCCACGATAAATAAAAGTCCACTGGCAGGCTTTTTGATATCATTGACAGCTGTAAATAAAAATGGAACTCATACATATGCAAAGTTATTTTGATTAAAAAATATATTGATTGTACACACAGGTAGAGTTACTCTAAACTTGATATTACAACTGTACAATTATTGAGTTTCTGATTGACAATTCGATATCTACGTATTTTTTTGATATGACGTCTTTCAAAAATCTTTCAGAATTCCGTTGGGTACCCAGTGCTCACAGTTATCAGCATACCTATTTTTTTTTATTCATATGTTGCAGAATTCATTTAGGTACTTATACACGAGAAGTAGAAAACATTTGCTCTGGTCTTCAACTCGACATAGATATATCAATTAACAACTAGTGCTAATTGTAACGGGGACCGTTACAGATGTTCCCCAAACGCTCCCCAACTCCCTTTTGGTGCCATATCCCCTGTAAGCTTCATTAAATAAGACATACTCTAGCATACCTATTTTGTGCCGAGTTCATTCAAATTTTAGCATATGTTGCAATGACCATATCATATTGTCTACTTATATATTTTAATATACTAAATATTAAAGTATTTAATCCAAAAGTATTAAACATTCAAGTGTATTTTTGATTTTACTCATTTCGGTGCACGCACGTGCATACATGAGCATGGTGACATACCTTCTCGTATATATCAATTAAAAACAAGTTATAGCTGTTTAAAGTTTCCCAATGAGATTGCAGCACATGTACATGCACGTGTATGCATGTGCATGGTGAACATACCTTTTTGATATATCTATCCATGTTCCAATCCCATCCTGTTTGGTTGAAAATCAAGGGAGTTATAGCTATTTAAAGTTTAAGAATCAGATTGCAGCGCACGTGCATGCACGTGTTTTCATGATAATTGCTATATATCACGTTGTAGGATATC